ACTGGACAAACACATGTAAACTGGACAAACACATGTAAACCGGACAAACACATGTAAACTGGACAAACACATGTAAACTAGACAAGACAAACACATGTAAACTAGACAAGACAAACACATGTAAACTAGACAAGACAAACACATTTAAACTAGACAAGACAAACACATTTAAACTAGACAAGACAAACACATGTAAACTAGACAAGACAAACACATTTAAACTGGACAAACACATGTAAACTAGACAAGACAAACACATTTAAACTGGACAAACACATGTAAACTGTAAACTGGACAAACACATGTAAACTGGACAAACACATGTAAACTGGACAAACACATGTAAACTGGACAAACACTGGACAAACACATGTAAACTGGACAAACACATGTAAACTGGACAAACTGGACAAACACATGTAAACCGGACAAACACATGTAAACTGGACAAACACATGTAAACTAGACAAGACAAACACATGTAAACTAGACAAGACAAACACATTTAAACTAGACAAGACAAACACATGTAAACTAGACAAGACAAACACATTTAAACTGGACAAACACATGTAAACTGTAAACTGGACAAACACATGTAAGCTGGACAAACACATGTAAACTGGACAAGACAAACACATGTAAACTAGACAAGACAAACACATGTAAACTAGACAAGACAAACACATGTAAACTAGACAAGACAAACACATGTAAACTAGACAAGACAAACACATTTAAACTAGACAAGACAAACACATGTAAACTAGACAAGACAAACACATTTAAACTGGACAAACACATGTAAACTAGACAAGACAAACACATTTAAACTGGACAAACACATGTAAACTGTAAACTGGACAAACACATGTAAACTGGACAAACACATGTAAACTGGACAAACACATGTAAACCGGACAAACACATGTAAACTGGACAAACACATGTAAACTGGACAAACACATGTAAACCGGACAAACACATGTAAACTGGACAAACACATGTAAACTGGACAAACACATGTAAACCGGACAAACACATGTAAACCGGACAAACACATGTAAACTGGACAAACACATGTAAACCATGAAGCTTCAGAAAGGACATTAACAACATAACCCTGAGATGTAGGAACTCAAATGGCTTATAATCATCAATCACCAGGAAAAAGTCTGGGACAAACTCAGTGAAGTGACATCCACCACATTTAAAAATGATCAAACTTTTTCTTGATGGTATACTTAAGGCCAAATGGCTCATCTAAACTTCTTTATGAGTGCCCCGAGACACTTGAAAGACATTTGTGTCCTTGACATTCAGGTTAACTTGAAGTCCATACTAAGAAGCTACCTGTACTGTACTGTACTGCTGAGGTAAAATCTGTAAACGTATAATGCTTAGTTTGACCGTTTTACATATTTGTGTATACAGCATGATATTTGACAATGTGATCAAGGAAACACTGTACTTGTATACTATGAAGCTACCTTTACTGTACTGTACTACTGAGGTAAAGTCTCTAAACATAATTCTGGGAATAAAAACATGGAACCCCCCCCCATAACAAAACAACAACAAACAAACCTTGAAGTCCAGAACAGGATGGGTATTAAATATATGGTTGTGTAGTCCATGCTTGTGCTTGTGTTTTCACATTCATGTCCTGGGTTTAATTCCACTCATGGTACAATACAAGTGTCTGCAGGGGTTTACAGGACGCATGATTCCTCCGTATTGGACGCATATAATTTTCTTCTGGAAAGAACTTTCTGAGTTTGTAATGATATCCCATATAAAAATGTAAACATTCTGTTTACAATCATTATTCTAATGACATTGAAACTAACACATATTATAGCATAATCATTATCAAATGGGACGCTTCCATGATCATTGATTTCATGCAAATTGATGGACTTGAAATGGACTCTCAAATAAATATGCCCTGATTCCCAAGGACTCCCAGTTTTGAAGAGCTATGTAAAACCCTGCTGTGTGTTGGTTTGTCAGCCTTGTTGACAAACTGTTTGATTGTCATGATAAACAGCTGATTTCAGTGCTACCATCAAGTGTTTGGTGACATTGTACATCTTTATTCCAAGCTGACCGCCTCCGTGGTGTAGTGGTTAGAGTCACCTCACCTTTATTCCAAGCTGTGATCCAGCTCGAACATTCATGATACTTCACTGTAATGGACATAGGGAATGAGTGGTCACTGTAACAAGCTTATATAACTTCCTGCAACAGCAGTGAGGGATTTAGGGACCAATGGATTTAACATATGTTATATTTGGGATTACACTTTCTTAGTAAAGTACAAATTCTAGTACTTTTTTGAGTTGAGTCCCATCCGGGATTCGAACCCACACCCTCAGAGACAGGCACCTAATCGCCAGCACACGAAGTCAGACGCCTTACCCACTCAGCCACCGCGACTTCCATTTTGTGTGCTGGCGATTAGGTACCTGACTCTGAGGGTGTGGGTTCAAATCCCGGATGGGACTCAACTCAAGGGTGGTGGGGTAGCCTAGTGGTTAAAGTGTTTGCTCGCTATGCCGAAGACCCGGGTTCGATTCCCCACATGGGTACAATGTGTGAAGCCCATTTCTGGTGTCCCCCGCCGTGATATTGCTGGAATATTGCTAAAAGCGGCATAAAACCATACTCACTCACTCACTCACTCAACTCGAAAAAGTACTAGAATTTGTACTTTACTACAAAAGTGTAATTTCAAATATAACATTTGACCACTTTCTTAATGGCATTGTGTAATCACGGACCATGGATTAATATTCAGTTTGCACAGTCTCGTCCAATGAATGCACTTGAGAGGCTTAATCGGTTGATGTTTTTATGTACAGTTAGATAACTGCTCTTCATCTTTTCTGAATCTGTAGAAGTTAGCACTTGCCCTCCAGCCCGAACATGTTTATGCTTGTGTCCATCTTGGGTTGTAGCTGAGGGGTTTCAGATGATTTCATCAACAAGGTGATCGATTTGGTTTATGAATTACTAAATCATGTGATGCTTGGTATCATCAGGGCGGCTTAACTGGTCTTTGAATCCCTTCAATGTATAATTTACTGCTAATGGATAATTAACAGTGTGTCCTTTTCATCTTTCACAAACATTCCCAGACCATTTCCCTGTGGGAGACAGGGACAGCTGAGCCTATGGGGTGGCTGGTGGTGGGTGGGGCAGCTAAGATAATGGGGTGGGGCAGTTTCTCCAACATTGCAGCAGTGATCCCAGCTATATATTTTCAGGAATGTAGATAGCATTGCATATGAATCATGTGCTATTGACTACCAGTACATCTGGGTATGATATAGCATGTTATATTTGGGATTACATTTTCTCAGTAAAGTACAGATTCTAGTACTTTCTTAGGTTGAGTCCCAACCAACACTCTCAGAGTCAGGCGCCTAATCGCAAAGTCAGCAATTTAAGCCACTCTATTGTACCCCTCTGGCAAATGAAAATTGGCACAATTCCAACAGCCAAAAGCTATGAATACTGTGTAGTATATGATAGTTCAGAAAACTGACAGGATAATTGTTCCCACACTGCCTGTTTAGGGACCGTTCATAATTTATGGCTAGGGGGGGTGATGACGATTTTTAGAGGGGTCACCCATTTTGTTCTGGGGATATAGGGGGGTCAGCAAGTTTGTACACATGCACCAGGGGAGTCAGCAATTTTGTACATAAAAATATTTTAAAATTATGCTTAAAACTTATGGGAGGGGGAGGGGGGTCATTGATTTTGTACATGACATGCAGGGGGTCACTTACTTTGTACATAAATTTTAAGGGGGTCATTCACATTGTACATGCTTCTCCATAAAAATCATCATCACCTCACCCCACCCTAGCCATACATTATGAACAGTCCCTTATTATGAACACTCCAAACACTGTTCCCACTTTAAACCTGCTTGGAAAATAATGGGCTGGCATTACAGGGACTTCATACAGGTTGTTAGACATGCACTTCACATGCATTGTCATGATGATGATGATCCTGATGATGAGGAGGAGGGGGATAATGGTGATGATGATACGGAAGAGGTGATTAGGGTGTGATGATGATGATGATGATGATGATGATGATGATGATGATGATGATGATGATGATGATGATGATGACACAAAAGTTTTGCATTATATAAATACACACATCCACATCTTCACAAACATTACTGTTTCCCCCAGGATCCAAAAAAGGCAGGGAGCCAGAATTTCAAAAGGGGCACCCTTATTCCAAAAGGTGCATGCAATGACAGATTGAGAGAAATAGAAACTAAAAACCACCAAGTGTTATTATCAATTATTGTATTAAAAAGAAGGGCAAGGCACTAAATGAAAAGGGCAGGGCACCGAATATAAAGAGCAGGGTGATGCACCCTGTTAAAAATGCCTTGAGGGAACACTAAGTATATATACAGTGTTCAACATAAATCTGTAAATCGATTCCTAAACAACACATTCGTTGGTGTAGGAATAACAATTATTATCCATGTGGTGAAATATAACCAGTGTCATATATACCATATGTGCACATGTGCACTTTTGCCAAGCAACCATTGTTTCTGTGTTTCGTCGTCTGTGACGTCATTAAACAATTGAACATGACGTCAATGAACAGGCCAGTCACACTCACTTACCATGTTTTACTGCACAAATGTACAGGAATAAAATGAATGATAATGAAATTATTACACCATCAAGTGTGCCACATGCCTGATACGAAACTCGTATAAGCCGTATAACACACTTGCTCGTGTGTATTAATCGTGTACGACGGTTGAGACAAGATGACAAGTGTGACTACACACTTCTAGTGTTTTGAAGTAAAGACTAGTGAGCATGCCCGCCATGTTTTGTGATTGAAAGAAACAAAAATTTGTTTCAGAACTTGTGTAGTGAAGTAGACTTTGCTTGGCTTTTGCATTGTTTGTTTGTTTGTTTTTCTGATTGAATGTTTGTGTATTCCAGAAACTGGCCATGATCCCTCTGTACAGGGTGCTAAGATAGAAGACCGCTTCTACAACAACGACTCCTTCAAGGTGAGTTCCTGATTACCTCATGAGTGAGTGAGTAAGTTTAGTTTTACGCCGCACTCAGCAATGTTCCAGCTACAGTGAGACCCGGCGACACATTCGTTTTACGTAAATCGTCCGGATAACTGAATATCTGGACATCTGGATTTCTGTCATCCAGGCTTACTGTATATTACCGTTTATAAGCTGAATTTTGAGGTTAAAAAGCAGTGTGTAGAAAGGGGTCGGCTTATCTTCATGATTTACACTTTAGTCAAACTTTTGTCCGGGGGTAAGAAAACATCATATCACTTCGCGTGAACAAACAACAGAAGACAACTTTGTCAGTAGAGACATCAAATTTGCAATTAAACATCACTAGACAAGATTATTTACCTCTTAGTACTTAGTTGTTTTGCCATTGTAATATTTGCAGGGATGGTTGGTTTGATTTGCCAACTACAAATCACTCTGTGTCAGACAGGTCTACTAATCAATACTTAGCAGACCTTTCTGCTGGGCACTTGTCAGCGGAAGATCGATGCAGGATAATGAGTCAATTTTAGTTGATTTAACCGGTTGGTTTGACAAAATTTAACTCCGGGAACAATCCGCTATAGATAGTCACTTTTATAACTTACGACGATTGGTTTATACAAAATGACCGGACCAGGTTTCCGGATACGGGTATCTGGGGTATCACTGTATAGCCTGTAAATAATCGAGTCTGGACCAGACAATCCAGTGATCAACAGCATGAGCATTGATCTGCGCTTAATTGGGAAACCAATGACATGTGTCAAGCATGGTTTACTGAAGACAAGCATGGGTTACTGAAGATCAATATTCTAACACGGACCTTCACGGGAATATGGTAGCCAGTGATGTAGCAGGTAGGCAACAGCGCCATGCTGCTCCCAACCCTTGCTGCCTGCTGGTGCTGTATTCACATCAGCACCATGGTATATATAAATCTATAGCTTGGTAGTTAGCTATATGTCTGCCACTTGGGGATAGTTTAAAGTACTGATATACTTATGACATTAGGGTTTTTGTGTTGAGTTGTCTCACCCTGAAGGTGGACATGTTTTTTGTTTGAAAGGTCAACAAGTTTTTGAAGACCCACAACAGAATTGTTTCAGGGCATCCAGTTATTATGTCACAAAGTGAATGAAGAAACTTCCATAATGAACCCATATGATATTCTCTCAAAATGTATTTAATGCCAAGATAATGCACACTTTAAAAATACCATATGGTGAACAGCAATGGCAAAAATTGTATGATAACAGCCCTATAATACTGACTCAAAAATATGTGATAACACCTGTTAAGCATTGACACAAAGTGTATGATAACAACCCTTTAGTACTGACATAAAATATGTGATAACACCCGTTTTGCATTAACACAAAGTGTATTATGACACGCCTTTAGTACTGACAAAAAATATATGTGATAACACCCGTTTTGCATTGACACAAAGTGTAAGATAACACCCCTTTAGTACTGACACCAAAATATGTGATAACACCCGTTTTGCATTGACACAAAGTGTATGATAACACCCCTTTAGTACTGACAAAAAAATATGTGATAACACCCGTTTTGCATTAACACAAAGTGTATTATGACACGCCTATAGTACTGACACATTTTGTACAATACCATCCCTATAGCATGGTGTGTGATAACACCCCTGTAGTACTGACTGAAAATGTGTGATAACACCAGGGAACTGTTGACTGAAAGTGTGTGATAACACCCCTGTAGTATTGACTGAAAGTGTGCGATAACACTCCTGTAGTATTGACTGAAAGTGTGTGATAACACCAGTATAGTGTTGACTGAAAGTGTGGGATAACACCCAATAGTACTGGCACTAAGTGTGGGATAACACCCTATAGTATTGACACAAAGTGTGGGATAACACCCTATAGTATTGACACAAAGTGTTGGATAACACCCTATAGTATTGACACAAAGTGTGGGATAACACCCTATAGTATTGACACAAAGTGTGAGTAACACCCTATAGTATTGTCGCAAATTGTAGGTCAACACCCAATAGTATTGACACAAAGTGTGGAATAACACCCTACAGTATTGACACAAAGTACAGGATAACACCCTACAGTATTGACACAAAGTACAGGATAACATCCTACACATTACAAAGTGTAGGATAACACCTTACAGTATTGACACAAAGTGTTGGGTAACACCCTACAGTATTGACACAAAGTACAGGATAACACCCTACAGTATTACAAAGTGTAGGATAACACCTTACAGTATTGACACAAAGTGTGGGATAACACCCTACAGTATTGACACAAAGTACAGGATAACACCCTACAGTATTACAAAGTGTAGGATAACACCTTACAGTATTGACACAAAGTGTGGGATAACACCCTACAGTATTGACACAAAGTACAGGATAACACCCTACAGTATTACAAAGTGTAGGATAACACCTTACAGTATTGACACAAAGTGTGGGATAACACCCTACAGTATTGACACAAAGTACAGGATAACACCCTACAGTATTGACACAAAGTACAGGATAACACCTTACAGTATTGACACAAAGTGCAGGATAAAACTTCTTGAGTACATCACAATTGTTGAACATAGAGATTTATTCTGGGTTACATCTTCAGAACAAGCCCTGAAACGTTGTACCCAAGAATAAAAAGAAGATGTAACCCAGAAAAAATCTCTATGTTCATTAAATAGCATCTTCTAAAATGCCAATCAAACATCTAATCACAATTGTTCTCCCTTCCCCAGAACCCTTCCGTGGACCCAGCCAACCCCCAGCAGCAGGATGCGGCCCTCACCATCCAGACCAACTACCGCCAACATGCAGCCAAGGAAGAGGTGCAGGGAATGCGGGAAGAGGAGGCCGCCACTGTCATACAGTCTGGTGTCCGTGGTTACATGGACAGACAGAAGGTGCTAGAGTCCAAGTGAGTACCACACCTAAGATATGTCTCACAAAGCATTCCTGTTGTGAAGATTGGCAACTGTAGGAATCGGGTGGTCAGGCTGACTTGGTTGACACAAGTCATTGTACTTGGTTGACACAAGTCATTGTATCCAAATTCTTTAGATCAATGCTCATGCAGTTGATCACTGGATTGTCTGACTCACACACATGCAGCATACATCTGGAACAGCATAAATGGAACAAATGGAACCAGAAAATCAGCCTGACACCATATGTTACAAGTTTATGAGTGCAGCTTAAACAACAACCAACCAACCAACCCACAAAGCCTGGTTCTAGGGGCTACAAATAATGTAACCCCAACATTTATCATTATCTTGTCTCACACATAAATGTCGTTTCTGATTGGCTGAGCGCTCTTCTATTATTATTAATGTACCCCGCTTACAAGCAAGTAACATTTTCTATGTACTCCGCTGGGAATGCCGAACTCATTTGGTACTTTGTAGTAATAATTCTTTATCTTGAATCACACTGAATCACGTATGATGTACCGAAATTACCGATGTTTTGCGAATGAAAATCAATGGAAGGGACATAACTCTAAATCTGTTTTTCTTGTCGTCTTGTCGTCTGGTACTCCATACTGTGATCTGATACCGAAACAGTCCAATAAAGGTGTTCGGTAAGATACATACGTTGTTCACTGGTCCCTCAGGGCCCATGGGTTGATGTACCCTTGCCCTTCGGGCTCAGGAAACATAAACAAACATAGAGGGTACATCAACCCATGTTCCCCTCGAGACCAGTGAACAACTTATATTGCTTTACACAAGTCAGCATGATCAGTGGAGTGATGACTGTACAGCCTCTGTAACTGATGACTCTAAGCTTATAGCTAAGTCACCATGATTACGATCTAAGGAATATCAGCACCACACCCAGTTGTCCTACCAAACATCCGAATCAACAAATAATCTTTCTAAATGATGATGCTATGTCATTGGTAGACAAACGCTTAGTCCCTGAATATATATAATTTTGAAAGTAACAACTAATCACATTTAATTTGAAAAGGAGCCCCAGTGAGGTGGGAGATTCAGACACGGAATATATGTAATTTTGATAGTAACAAATAATCGCATTTTAATTGAAAAGGCGCCCCAGTGAGATTGGAGATTCAGAAATTTAGACTTGCTCCATCTTGGGCTTTAGCAGGGAGGGCTACACAGTAGGGAAAATATTGTGGTTCAGGGACTGTGAGACAGACTGTGTCATGGGCAACTTCATTAGCAGTGAATGTGTTTTTCAAGGTCCCAACATCAGGGTTTCAGCTTCCACAGGCCACCGTCCTGTACCTGAGTGTCTCGTAGAGCAACAAGCCCATGCCGATGTAGGTGTACTTTCAGGAGGAAACTGTAATGTTAGCATGAGGAAGTTTATTACATAAGATGAAGCAGATGAAACTGATAATGACCCACTGTGTAGGGCTGGGACGGGTCCTAATTTTCTACCCGGGTACTCCACCCCCTATTACCCTACCTGGATACCCGTGATGTTATTTTCTGACATCAATTTTGTAAGAAATGGCAATATATTCTTCAGCTCGGAGGCTAAAATTTCAAGTTTTTTTAATATCTTAACCATGTATTATATTCAAAAGAAGTGACTGTAATTATGTCTAAATCTGCAAAGACAATACAGTCTTTTAGTCATGAAAGAATAACATCTAACATTGTTTAATTTATTGGTTACATGATAATTACGGGTCAGGGTATTGAGACGGGTACCTGGGTCCAACTCGTTACCCAACCGTCTCGGGTATCCGAGTTACCCGTCCCAGCCCTACCACTGTGCCACTGCAGGAAATAGAAAACTTTAAACTACTTCCTTCATTAAGTTCATGTTGAGTGGTCAGGTTGTTTTGTAAGATAATCAACAGATTATCTTTCTAAATAATGTTGCTTTGTCATGTGCAACTTCATTAGCAATGAAAGTGTTTTTCGGCATCAAGGTTTCAGTTTCCACAGTGATGAGAATCCTCAGGATCAGAGTGAAGTCACAACAAATTGATTTTCTCATTGCCATGTTTGTTTGTTGTTTAACACCACACTCGGCAGTATGCCAGCTGTTTGGCAGCTATATGGCAGTGGTTTGTAAATAACAGGGCTCGATTCAAAGAAATGATACCTACTTGCACCCAGTGCAACCTTAGGTAGAAACCTTGTTGCACCAGATAAAAACAGGTTGCACCTGCTGCTCAATATAAAATCTTGTATAAAATATGATGCTTGAGTTTTGGTAATGATAGTTTAGAACATTATAACAAAAGGAATCCTGGACTGATAAGATTACTTATCTTACTTCCTAAAATTTCATGAACAGTAAGTCCTTCAGTCACTGCTCATACAGTCATCAGAGTCACTCTTCCAAGTCAGTTCCTCATCATTCTGTTTTCCAGCTGAAGTCTCAAAATTGACTTGCACCTGGTGCAAGTTAGACTAATAACTAGGTTGCACTTTGTAGTATTGGGTTGCACCAGTGCAAGTAACAAGGCTCTAAATCGAGACCTGAATAATTGAGTCTGGACCACAGAATCCAGTGATCAACAGCATGAGTAGCGATCTACACAATTGGGATATGATGACATGTGTCAACCAAGTCGGCAAGCCTGACCATCCGATCCCCGATCTTCACGGACTCATTGTCATGGGGTTTTGTATTAACAGTGTACTGATTCCTCAAACACAACACAAATCCAGTTTGACAGCATTATGATTCTTGGTTTGTTGGCACCAACCCTGTGCTAATGGGTTTCACCGGTGGTAAATACCGGAGACCCACATCTAAACTATTCAAGGCAGTATTTAACCCAACCCACTCTCTGTACATTTCAGAGACCCTGAGGAGTTTGAGAGGCGTCAAGAGGCAGCTAATGAGCGTCTAGCCTCACAGGAGGTGAAAGCTGAGGAGGAGGAGGAGGTGGATATCGACCTCAATGACCCCGACGTGGAGAAGGCGGCCATCAAGATCCAGGCAGGCTTCAAGGGCTTCAAGGCCAGGAAGGAAGTTCAGGAGGTCAAGGTAGGACTGTGACAGGGGGAGATAACTGTTTTAATGGAAAGATAACTCAGAGTATTGATTTATGATATTATGAGATGTCATATGAAGTTTAATATGGGCTATGCAAGTTCCTAAATCTTGTGGCATGTACATATAGGATATATACAGATTGGCTTGACATTCTTTTCTAATGGTGCAGGGTCAACATGCGTACCTGTTGATATTGGGTGCAGGAATGATATAGCCTGTAACTGGTGTGCTGTGGTTTGCTGTGGTTTGCTGTGGAATGTGTTGCTGTGCTGTCGTTTGGGAGGTTTGCTGATATCGTCAGTGACCTGATTTCTTTTTCGAGACCTGGTTTATATCAAGTCATTTTCTAATAGACCTGATTTATATTCAGTGACTGTCCAAAAAATCTCATTTATACTTAGTCACATTGTTCCATGTGACCTGATTTATACCCATTGTTCTGTGTGACCTGATTTATACTCATCTTGTTTCACTTGACCTGATTTATATTCAGTCATTGTTCCATGTGACCTGATTTATATTTAGTCATTGTTCCATGTGACCTGAGTTTACTCAGTTATTGTTTCATGTGACCTGATTTATACCCATTGTTCTGTGTGACCTGATTTATACCCATTGTTCCATGTGACCTGATTTATATTCAGTCATTGTTCCATGTGACCTGAGTTTACTCAGTTATTGTTCCATGTGACCTGAGTTTACTCAGTTATTGTTCCATGTGACCTGAGTTTACTCAGTTATTGTTCCATGTGACCTGTTTATTCAGTCATTGTTCCATGTGACCTGATTTACATTCAGTCATTGTTCCATGTGACCTGATTTATATTCAGTCATTGTTCCATGTGACCTGATTAATACTCAGTCATTGTTCCATGTGACCTGATTTATATTCAGTCATTGTTCCATGTGACCTGAGTTTACTCAGTTATTGTTCCATGTGACCTGAGTTTACTCAGTTATTGTTCCATGTGACATGAGTTTACTCAGTTATTGTTCCATGTGACCTGATTTATATTCAGTCATTGTTCCATGTGATCTGATGCATTTTCAGTAATTGTTCCATGTGAACAGATTTATACTCATTTTTCCATGTGACCTGATGTATTTACAATTTCAATTTTTCGTTGATTTCTTTATCTTTATAGTATTTTCATGTGTAAACACCTCGGGAAACCATATCGTCTTGTCTAATGTCTGGAACATTGTTCTCAGTATGAATCACTTGATCTTCTGGTCCAGGCTATACTACTTCAGGCTGCTTTGTATGGGTGGCATATTGTTGACTAGGACATAATGCAACAAAGACATGACCTGTCTAAGTGAGTGAGTTTAGTTTTACACCGCACTGCATCGATCTGCGTAATTGGATGTGATGACATGTGTCAACCAAGCCAGCGAGCCTGACCACCCGATCCCGTTAGTCACATCTTACGACAAGAATGGGTTACTGAAGGTTCATTCTAACCCGGACCTTCACGGGTGACCTGTCTAAAGAGGACTTGTTGTGTGTGTGTGTGTGTGTGGGTGTGGTGTGTGTGTGGGTGTGTGTGTGTGTGTGTGTGAGGGGGAGGGGTAGCCTAGTGGTTAAAGTGTTTGATCGTCTGGCTGAGGGTCTGGGTTTGATTCCCCACATGGGTACAATGTGTCCCCCACCGTGATATTGCTGCAATATTGCTAAAAGCGGCGTAAAACCATACTCCCTCACTCACTCACTTGCTGGGTAGTTCAGCTTGTTGCTTACCTAGGGGATGATCACTAGTCACCGTCGGTTGTTCATGTGTTTAGACACAGGTGTGCCAGGCTAAGACTTGAAGGTTTACACCCTGCCTTATTTGGCCAAAATGTTGCTGACTCATCGAACAACATTCACTAAGTTATGTACTGTTCCATGGGGTTATGTCTGCATTCGTTCCTGCGAAGAAAACAAACAAGAGTAGAATTGGTCTTCAGCAACTCATGTTGTTATATAAGGTGACTAACAGAATTGGATGGACAGGCTTGCGGAGTCGGTTGGCGCATGTCATCGAATCTTAATTGCATGGTCGTTGCTCATGATGTCAATCACTGGATTGGCTCATCCGGACTCAGGGTTATTTACTGCCGACCTATGGCTGTAATATTGCCGAGTCGGCACAGCAGACAGACTGTGAGTAGGGTTAGTCATGCTGAGTGTAGTCTGGGCTGGTTCCATGCAGGCCACATTATTTGTTTTGGTAAGTCCATTGTTAGGCCGGTCTCCATGTCTGTGTGTTCGGACTAATGCATCTAATGGATTTGTGATGTTTCGGGATTGTTTGCACGGACGGATACAGGTTTCACTTGCATTAAAATGTGAAGGGGATTGAAACTTGGAAAGCTGATTTTTATTGGATTAGATTGAAAGTTTGCAAGTTCACCCCATGTTTGGTTAGAGTGAGTGAGTTTAGTTTTACGCTGCACTCAGCAATATTCCAGCTATATGGCGGCAGTCTGTAAATAATCGAGTCTGGACCACACAATCCAGTGATCAACGGCATGAGCATTGACCTCCGCAATTGGGAACCGATGATATGTGTCAACTAAGGCAGCGAGCCTGACCATCCGATCCTGTTAGTCGCCTCTTACGACACATTGGTTACTGAAGGTGAATTCTAACCCGGACCTTCACGGCTCTTCAGGGTTAGAACAGACCTCAAGCAGCCTATGCTGGATTGATGGATTGAAGGACAAGCTGTGAGACATCGGATCCAGTTTGGGTGAACTGAAACCAGTCTCTGTTTCACCTTGTCCTGACTTGGTTGGGGCGGTGGGGTAGCCTAGTGGTTAAAGCATTCGCTTGTCATGCTGAAGACCCCAGTTCGATTTCCCCACATGTCAAATGTTTCATCTCAGGAAATTATAGGGTTATCTGACGTGTCAAGATAACAATTCTCACTCAGGATAATATTGTTATGCTATTCAAAGTTAAGGGCAGTGTGATAGCCTAGTGGTTAAAGCGTTTGCTCGCTATGCCGAAGACCTGGGTTTGAATCCCCACATGGGTACAATGTGTGAAACCCATTTCTGGTGTCCCCTGCCGTAATATTGCTGGAATATTGCTAAAAGCTGCGTAAAACTAAACTCACCCACCCACCTACCTGACTTAGTTAAATCTGGTCGTCGTCATTTAACTGGAATTTTGTTGAATGGTGATGGAAGCACCAAACAAGAAAGACAAAACTATGAATGTAATGTGTATATCTGTAAGGCTTTGCTTCTGCTAGTCACAGACTGACAAACAAACGTTGTTAGTCCAACTCGAAAACAAGCAGTTTTCACATAAGTCATGCATCCCTTAATAAGACTTCAAATGTCCGTTCCGAAAATACTCCAAAATGATAGAGATTGGTAGTTATGTAAACGAAATTAAAAATAATGCTGAGTATTGCCATCTCGCCATCAAGTCTGTCGGGGGAATATGTCTACATTAATTTAATTGATTTATTCTGAAAAAGATTGCATTTTCCTGCCTCCTGTCTGCACTGGTGGTATTTATACCACACTTAGCAAATACTTGAATTTCCCTCCGCACGTCCCGAGACACGGTTCCAGCTGCTGTTGTGTAATGTAAATCGGCTGTGGATACTTGTAATACCTTTGCACACAGCACAAAACAAACCATGAAGCCTTTATTGTCAACAGAGACACCAGTTTCCACTTTCCCGCGTTTCTACTGATGGGGAAAAAGTGAAATTCAACTACCAAGTGGATATTTCTGTTAACTCTATTGGCAGGCTGTGCAGGTTGTGAACGCACACACGCACAGTGTTATTGTACTTGTCACTGGAGATTTAACACACAGGCACAGTGTCTGTCTGAGTTTAAAGGTGTACTGATGGCTTAGAAACATGATCCTTGAATAGGAAAGTTTTGAAGGGATAGGGGCTTCCAGAAGGACACCTTGGATTTGAGTGTGGATGGTTGAATATAGGGGCAGTCTGTGCCAAACCTTGAGTCCTGTCATTAATTACAGCAGTGTTCGAAATACCTGCCTGTCCGACCGCCCAGGGACGGGTTATTTTCAACACGGACTGCCAGATTCTCAGATTCACCTGCCCGACAGTCGGGTCTCAACAGCCCTGTGGTCTGTGTGAAATTTTTGCGAGTTTCATACCCTGATTACGGTCAATATTTGCCTATTTCATATTTTTTTGTCTTATGTGTAGATTCAGGCAGCATACAGGACATGCTTCCTGTGTTCATGGACACCTGGTGTCTATTCATATCATTTTCACTGCTATTTGTCTAAAGCATCTTACCCATGAAGGTCCGGGAATGAGCCTTCAGTAACCCATGCTTGTCGTATGAGGCGACTAACGGGATCAGATGGTCAGGCTAGCTGACTTGGTTGACACATGTCATCGGTAATGCGGCGTAAAACTAAACTCACTCACTCACTCTAAAGCATCCAGGACAGATTTTTACTAGACTCAATCTTTGGGCCAGTACCTAAAATCACTGACTTAGTTGATGGATGGGATTTTATCACTGTGATGAGGTAGTAGGGATATCACACAAGGGTGTTAGCTGTATACAAATTGTCAGCGTGGAACATAGATTTGCCCAGGCAAGATAGGGTGTAGGGTGTGTGCATCTATCTAAGGATTTGCAGGATTACTCACCCAACATTAGCAAAATAATATCGAGCAAAGTACCTTTTTCCTGAGAATTCAAGCAAGGCGAGTCAAGCAAGGTCTAATACTATTGTGACAGAGGTATTAACATTGTGACGTCATAACTGTAAACCACTTTGGCGTCATACGTACGACATCACACGATGTTATTACACAATGTGTAATAACATTGTAGAATTATTGAACAGTGATATCTTCAATGGGTGAGTAATAATGCTGAATATTACACGAAGCTATATACAAAGAAAGAGTGAGTGAGTTTGTTTAGTTTTACTCCACTTTTAGCAATATTCCAGCAAATACCACGGCATGGAACACCAGAAATGGGCTTCACACATTGTACTCATGTGGGGAATCAAACCCGGGTCTTAAGCGTAACGAGCAAACGCTTTAACCAGTAGACTACCCCACCGCCCCTACAAATAAAGAAGACAGACAAATGTTTTTGTTACATTCTTCTCCGACCTGACCCTAATACTTTAATCACTTGTAAAGTTTCTACGTTCTGTGAGTGCACAGTGTCTTGTAATCCCAGTAAGATGCAGAACCACGGCTGGAGGAGTCCCACTGGGAGACAGACTCTGCTTCCACGAGAGTTACGCTCAGGGAGTCCTGGTTGATAACGTACGTAACGTCATAGCAGCTCCCTCTTCCTCAGCAACCACGCAGGCATGATCAAACAAGTTGTTGGCAGATGACCCCTAGCTGTCGGTTTATCATCCCCTTGTAGACGTGTGAGCTGGCCTGTTAATAACTTCACATGTGTAGTGCTTGCTAAGGGATTGATGTTTTTGGCTCGTGAAGACCATTGGATAAATGCCAAATTGTGTTTTACCCATAACGCCTATGCTCATTCTTCTCATCGTTAATAGGCAGAGTAAAAGTTTGTGTAAAATGGAATCTGATGGGATCATTTATAGGGTTGAATTATTATAAAACTTTGCAAGATTTTTATCAGAGGTTTTGTGCGTTGTTGGGAGAAACTCATCAACTGTTAATTTATCGGAGCTTGTGTCTGGAAGGTGGAGTGTGATAGAGACCTGTTTTGGTCTGCTAGAGAAGATGAGACTGAAAATATGTGCAAGACCGGTTGTTATCCTAAGACTGACTGACTGAGTTTGGTTTTATGCAATATTCCAGCAATATCACGGCGGGGGACACCAGAAATGGGCTTCACTCAGTTATCCTAAGAACATGTCCATTAATGTTTATGGTAAATATACTGAGGGAAAAAAATAAGGGATCACATGAAAGCACAAGTGTTCTTTTATTTGTTTCCAGATACAACGCTTATGAAGAAACCTGGAAACAAGTAAAGGAACACTTGTGCTTTCATGTGATCCCTTATTTTTTCCCTCAGTGTATATTAACTTTCCTGGGCAGTGCAGGAGGCTAGTGGTTAAAGCATCCAAGACCCAGGTTCCATACCACACATGGTCACAATGTGTGGAGCCCATTTCTGGTACCTCTTTTCATGATATTGCTGGAATATTGCTAACAAAGCCACCCTAAAACCATACTCCCTAACTCAAATATGTAATTTGACAATTGTGGATAAAAGCCTTTATGATATGTTGTTCTTCTATTGATATTGTGGGGTGGTGGGGTAGCCTAGTGGTTAAAGCGTTTGCTCACCAGCCCCAGTGAAGACTCGGGTTATATTTCCCACATGGGTACTTTGACTGAAGTTGTCATTGTGACATCCCCACATGATATTGCTGTTTATATTTTATGTTTGTTGAATTTCAATCATTATAAGAAATGTTAAATCCTGTGTGCTTAATTTTATTCTCTGGGCTGGAATTTTCAATGGGTCAGACAGACACCACTGAAACTACAGGACCACCGAATGTCCTGTTCACTTTGACTCACCAATCACTCACTCACTCACTCTCACTCACTCTATTGATATTACTGTATGTTCAGGTTTATCAGCAGTATTTTATATATGAAAGCCACTATGGAAACAAACATATTCAGGTGCAAAAAAGAGTAAGATCTATAATCCTCACTGTTTTCCTTGGGCTGTGTGGCTTGGCCTCCACATGGCTTAGATCCTGCACATTTGCAGGAACTGATAGTAGACTACAAGCCTTCATACTCCAATTAAAAATAACAATATCAGCTGCCAATGTCATGTGCCAAAGCACATGGTGACAGGTGATTTCCACATGCTGGAGGCCCATAGTAGATCATTTGTCTGAGGTGCTGCAGTTTGCTATACATAGTTGTGTCCCCTGGGGATGCCTGGATCCTCTGATCATGGGTTTGTTTCCTGGTTTGTCTGCACCATACCCTTGTTTGTTGGTCTCACCAGCGTGAAACTGAGACATGCATCAGTTTGGCTTTTATCCCACATCAAGCTGGCATGGTGTGATCTAATTTAAATACTGTTCAAACTGGCCTTGGGGCGGTGGGGTAGCCTAGTGGTTAAAGTGTTGGCTCGTCACGCCGAAGACCCTGGTTGAATCCCCACATGGGTACATTGTGTGAAGCCCATTTCTGGTGTTCCCCTCCGTGATGTTGCTGGAATATTGCTAAAAGTGGCGTAAAACCAAACTCAGTCAGTCAGTCAGTCAGTCAAACTGTCCTTAAAACCAATTAATTCACTCACTCAACATCTGCCACCAGGAATCAAAGAATTAAAAAAATATGTCAACTTTTATTAAGACAGGTCTGTTCAAGTGAGCCTTTGACTTGATATGTCATGCCAAAAGAACAGTCAGTGAATTGAAAGAGTACTGAAGTATGTGAGTGAGTCAATATTTATTTATTTATTTATTTATTTATTTATTTATTTATTTATTTATTTATTTATTTATTTATTTATTTATTTATTTATTTATTTATTTATTTACGTTTTGTTTTGCAAACATACAGGAACTGTGGTATAGATTCGACTCATTTCTTTCGGTCCTGAGAGCTGTGGCAGATATGTTTCATTCCTTGCTGCATCTAATCTATTCATGTTAACAAAGCTTTGAAATTGCCAAGTGCAGTTAAGCCACTTGCCATTTAATGGCTGGAACCATTTAAAGTGTAGCATTTGGCAATACATCCCTTCTCCTGCATCGCTGAGTCTGTTCACACCATGGTAGAACATCAGGGTTTTAATGTGTTTGACGTGACACTGATATCAACGCTCCTTCATCATCCTGCAGTTTGAGACTGTAGATTGTGTTACGTTGACTTTTTACTCATCTAAATTACTGTCTTCTGCCGATGAAAACCGTAACGTTGATTGTGGTCTCACTTTGTGGAGGGAAATTGATTTGTAAATCTCAATGAACATGTGATGCATAAAATATTGGGAAATTACATAGTTGATGATGCTGCAAAACCTTTGTCAGAGATATTGGAGTTTTCGAAACCTGACATGTTTGCTCTTTCTAGTTTAGACGAATGTTTAAGCTCTAGGTGTGAAATGTTCTATTTCGAGGATATTAATTTTGATTGCATATTGATTTGATTTTTAAAAGCTGTTCTATTTTCTAATTTACATTTGCGGCTTCATTTGAATAATTATTACCCTTGGTTAGTTACGCATAATGAGGTGTTAACTACTGCGAGGAGATTCTGGGCTAGAATAGGTCCTCAGTAACCCATGCTGGTCTTATGAGGTGACTGAGTGGATGGGTAGGTCACTCTGACCTGCTTGTGTGACCGTATTCCGACAGTGTGGTCCAGTGATAAAAAGATAAATGACTGGAGTGTTATTTACAGGCCGCTGTCTTAGTTGGAACATTGCTGGCTGGCGTTAAACATCCAAGGATGCAGTTGAGCAGTTCATCTTAGAATTCAGAGCTTCAGAAGTCCTTGAAACCACATTGTGCCTATAAAACGCACCAGGATCCTGTAACCAGGTGCTCAAATCGGTGATGATTATGACCCTGGGTTTGTCAGAGTGAGTGAGTGAGTTTAGTTCTACGCTGCACTCGGCAATATTCCAGCTATATAGTGGCGGTCTGTAAATAATCGAGTCTGTACCAGACAATCAAGTGATCAACAGCATGAGCATCGATCTGCGTAATTGGGAACCGATGACATGTGTCAACCAAGCCAGCGAGCCTGACCACCCGGTCCCGTTAGTCGCCTCTTACGACAAGCAGGTGGGAGGGATGGGTGGGTTGGGTGGAGTGGAGCGGAGTGAGTGAGTGATTGAGTGAGTGAGTATTGAATATACACCAAAACAGACTCTACTTAGAGTGTTAAGAAAAAATAGCCATGAAAATGATCTGAATGGATCACTAAGAGTCACTGTGACCACAGGTACAGTGGAAACCGCCTAAGTAAAGACCGCTTAACTAAACAGACCTGAAAAGTAAACACTTTTCTTTGGTCCCGGCAACTTTCTTCATTAATTATCACTATTAGAGTCCGGTTAACTAAACTCGGATAAGTAAACAATACCGCTTAACTTAACGTTTTCTCACGGTCCATGGAAGTAAATTACTTAACAAAAGAGACTGGATAACTAAATTAGCGATCACCACATAATCCGACATGAGGTGCAGTCATGTCAGTCTCCAGTAAAAAAAACAGCCTTTTACAGCTCGTTGGCGTCAAGCAGATGACAATACACTGCCAACTGGAGGCCAGCCCTGATAAGTTGTTCATTGTTACATATGCATACATATACATGCATATGGTTGTCATTTGCAGGTTTTTATAAGTTTGGATAAGTAAAATACCTGATAAGTAAACAATTTTGGCGAGTCCCTGGAAATTTTACTTATCAGGTTTCCACTGTATTTACAAAAACGGTTAGCACATCCTGTCCTACTAACACGACAGGTACATCCTGGTGTTTGACCTCAGTTTGGCAGTCCATCGTGAAGAATGTATTACAGTAAAACCAAAACACTGGTTTTGTGCTGTCAACCTTAGG